CAGGAAATGTCAGTTTCAGGCTTACAATCAGGATTAGGTGCTTCTACACCCTTATTAATCAGCCATCATTTCCCTCTGATTTTAGGAATAAATTATGGTATAGGGTTAGGTTTAGGGGTGGGGATTGGGTTAAGTCTGTATTTTTGGACAGTAATGTTGATCCAGGAACGTGTCTTACTTGGCAAAATCACGGCGACCCCTAAAACAGAGCTCCCACCTTCACAAAGAACAACAAAAGAAACCCCTACCCACATTGGCCGAAGTTCATACACATTCCCTTGGGCCATCACAATATTTTAGTGCGTCAATAATCAGTGGCATTTTGAGAAGTGTGCATGTGCATATATGTATAAGGGATATATGAAATATAGGCGTGAAATCATTAATGACAGTCCTTATGACAGTCATGATTGTCGACTCATCATGGTTCCAACAACAGAGGTGTGACCATGTTACTACGGTTTGCGTTATATGAATCACCACAGACCATGGGTTTCAGCCTAAATTCTTCTTTACTGTTCTACTGAAGGAAAAAACTCATCGATATCTACCTTCAATAAATTCTTCTCCCCATAAGAACTCTGGTCAAGCTCACTTATTTGATGTATTAGAGGAATCTAATACATTGGCGAGCCACACAAACCACTGCTCAGCTAAATAGGTAAAGAATAAACTGCTCAGGAAACGTAAGTGTGCAGATCAGTTAAGCAGGTGCTAAAGCCATTGGGTACACTACAGAACAAAAGTGTGTGATGTAAAAACGAGTTTTGTTGTGTGTATGGGGTTTATTCAGCACAGTTCAGCCTGATTGTTCATGTGTGTGTGTGTGAGTGTGAGTGTGAGTGTGAGTGTGAGTGTGTGTGTGTGTGTGTGTGTGTGTGTGTGTCTATTTTCACACAGAGACTTACACTGGAGGAGGTCTGCTCTAGTCCTGGGTTCTGGAGAGGCAATGATCTGTCTATATATAATGCACAGTTCTGAATGCAGTATAATGCATTCATATTAATGACTCAGGTAAAGTGATCTCTACCAAAATGATCTCTAAATCATTTCAGATGTATTCTGAATGCTGTGTATTTCTACACGACTGAGAGTTAATGAATGTCCCAGTGCTTTACCTCGAACCATTATCTTCTTTATTTCCTCCAGCACTGGAGGCATCTCAATCTTCTCTCACCTTACGAGACTCCAGCGTGTCTCTCAGCTCCTCACACTCCTTCTCTTTCTCCTGGATTCTCTGCTGGAAGCTTCTCCTCGTCTCATCCAAGTGTCTCTGTAGAAAACAACATAGATAACGATGAATCTGATAAATATGCCAGAAGTGTCAATGCTTTTTGTCTGTCTATATGAAAACGTGCTTTGTTCAAATCAATAACCCAATGGAGTGTTACTTTTGATATTTTGTTTCTTTGTTTTGATCTATGATTATTAGGCTATTTCATTTATTCATTTTATTATTTATTTTTACTTTATGTTATTAACAATAATAATAGGGATGTTTGCCTTAGTAAAGATTTTTTAAGTGAATGCAAAAATAGTAGTCCAAGTCACTCAAAGTATACACTCAACGGCAGTAGAGTTTTAGCCCACAGCCATGATTTAATATTATTTATTATTACATTGAATGTTCCTTATCCAAAGAGCACCAGAAGGTATCACTTTTTCCAGACTTTGCATAAATATGAGGTGATTTTAAGATGTCACATTAAAAAAACATAAAATCTATCTCTAGGACCTCCTCCTTCAGCACTAGGTGGCGCAATCAATCAACTTTTAAACATCTTTTATAATGATTACGTGACCGCTGGGTGTCGCACTTTTCGGAACATTTCTGTCTTAAAGGGATAGTTCACCTCCAGTTGCTGGTCCCCATTGACTTCCATAGTATGGTAAAAAAACACACCAAGTCAATGGGGACCAGCAACTGGAGGTGAACTATCCCTTTAAACAGATTTTTTTATATTCAAGAATGAAAATCATTCTTTACTCACCTTTATGTCATTCCAAACCCGAATGACGTGTGACACAAAAAGGCATACATTTCTCAGTCACTCTTATTGCTTCTTATATTTACTTCATGATATATAGCCTATACTATATAGATTGTTTATATCGTTACTATATGTAAACGATCCTATCCAAAGTGCTAAATTTGGAGAATTATGTGATATAAACATTTAACGTCATGCATGTAAATGCTGCTTGATCACGATCAGCATTGTTAAACGCGACCTGACACAATAAAAGTGACGCTGTCATTCTCTCCAACATCTAAACTTCTGAAACAAATTCCTTAAACGATTAATTTCATTTTTGACGCGAACTGTTCCTGTAAGAGGGCATACCGTCAAACTTCCTTAAGTCTCATTAACAGCACAAACAAACCCTAGAGATAAAGAAATAATAATAAAGTGGTGATTTCACTACCAACACAAACAATCGAAGTGTTTTTTGCTAGGGGTGAGCGGATCGATCCTAATATCGATAGTAGCCTATCGATATCAATGTTGGTATTGGTATCGGATCGATATTTGGCCTTTTTATATCACTGTCTTCATCCATTAAGCTTCGTTGGTTTTCTATGGGAGCAATTTTAGGGTGTTGCGTTTATTCTGGGCTCATCTGCTTGCCTGTATTTATCAGTATCATCAGTAAGGTGTATCCTGAGTTTGGTCTTTTAATATTACTTTCTTAAGGCATTATGCCATGTTAAGTGTTTTCTTTGTAATGGTTATGGGAGGAAAACATTGAATGTGCAATTTAGCGCATTGTGTACATATTCTGAGCTCATCTGCTTGCCTCCATATTAGTATATTCTATTAATAAATTGTATATCGAACTTGGTCTTTTTACATCACTGTCTTCATCCATTAAGCCACGTTAAGCGTTTTAAACCTGTTTTCTATGGGAGGAAAGTGCTTAATGTGAAACTGCGTTGCTTTCATATTCAGCTCGCTTATAGATCTTTCATATCTGCTCGCTTGTATATAGTTTGCAAGATTAATAAGGTGTATACTGCATATTACTTTCTTAAAGGGGTCATATGATGCGCTTTCAAGTTTTCCTTTCTCTTTGGAGTGTTACAAGCTGTTCGTGAATAGATAAGATCCCTAAAGTTGCAAAGACTAAAGTCTCAAACCCAAAGAGATATTCTTTGTAAAAGTTAAGAGTCAACCACGCCCTCCTAAAACGGCTCGTTCTAACACGCCCCCACAACAATAATGTACAGTATGTGGAAAATAATGTGTTTTTTTAACCTTAAACCGCATAAACACATTTCATTACACCAAAATACACAACATAATGTTCTTTTTAGCAACATCATATGACCCCTTTAATATCACGTCAACACAGGTTTAAAAAGTTTCACGATCTTGTACCATTATGTCTTTCATGGAGAATACAATCTCAAAATGTATTTCAACAAACTGAAGTTGGTGGAATTATTTACAAAATTACATGTTCATCAATGCTATTTTACTCAATATGTATATATGTGTGCTGTGCGCTTTTATGTATATTAGTGTACTGAAAAAAACCAATAGAAGCATCACAGAGAATTCTAATGGTTTCCACTACAAATACCATTACAAACATTACAAACCATCAATTTTAACCATTAAAACCATTAAAAAAAGATTTTTCTGATTTGTTTTGGGACAAATTCCGTTAGGATTTATTGGTTTTAACAAGTCACCAATAGAAGGTGACCAATTACCAGTAGAATCCCACAGGGTCCATTAGAGTTTCCATTAAAACCAATACAAGTCCCATTACAACCAGTAAAACCATTACAAATTTTGTGATGGTGTCTATTGTTTTTTTCAGCAGGGACGTAAGCTGTTAGGCTCAACAGTAAATCCAGTCGAGACAGTACAGGGTTATGGAAACAGTAGGAATGGAAGTTTCAATTACACATAGAGCTATTCGTTAACTGAGCCAGTCAAAAAAAAAAAGTTTAAAAGCTAATTTTACCATAATATTGTTGTCATATTTTGTTGATTTGACATGTTACTGAAACCACATTATTTATTGATGCTGCTGTGCACAATTGAAACCGTAGTGCCAGCATAGTTCCATGGACATCACACTGTTACAGCTCATCTGTAAATATACAGGAGATTATGATTCTACAGCATAGTACTGTTACTGTATTCACAGCCATCTCCTACTCCTGTTCCCCGTGAACTCACAGTATACAGTTGTCATTTAATTGTAATAAAATACCATAACATATATTTATATGAAAAAGGACTAAAAATAATAACGGCATAGGCCTATAATATAAATTCACTTTAAAACTTCTACCTTGTCCACATAGAGTTTTGTAATGACATTCTTTATTGTTTTTGAAGCACTTCAAGTTTTCTTCAGTTTCATTCACTGTTAATGTGTCACAGGAAGTCAAGACTATTAGACTATGCTTCTGTGTGACAGTGTGTGTGTGTGAGAGAGAGAGAGAGAGAGTGTGTGTGTGTGTGTGTGTGAGAGAGAGAGAGAGAGAGTGTGTGTGTGTAAGGTCTTTGCATGCGTGTGAAGACGATAATTGTGAGCCGGTATGCTCACTCTCCCCCTCTCTCACAGATTTTTCTAGAAATCAGATTTGCTCTGATGTCATTAGCGTGTAATAGACAGTGTGCCTCTTACCCCCAGCATGCCCTGCAGGGTTGTGTAAATGGACATTTTACCACCTCTATAATCTACTGAGGGCTAGAAAAAGGGAGAATTGCAAGCCTGAAGCACATTGTGTTCTGGAGGGCATTACTGTGCAGCAGGTCTATATCAAGCATTAAGTTCTGTTTAACAAAGACAGTAGTAATATTGATAGTTACAGAAGAATAGCAACAAAAGTATCCAAAAAAAGGAGACTGGACACAAAATATGAAAACAACGTGTTATTGGTTCATTCAAATGCATGCATTTAAAATGAAAAGTGTCGGTGTATCAGTATCGGTGATACTGGCCCTGTATTTGTCGCCCACCACTATTTTAGGCTGTGGCCGAGCAGACCACAGACCGCACAGTACTATTGACCGACGCTGCGACAGAAAAGCGGTGATCCCGGACATTAGTGAGGTGAGTAGTTTGAGCGAGGGACGCGTCTCAGCGCTCGCGTCGCGTTTCCACGCCATCTTCGTGCGCTTTTCAACTGTAAATCTGTCAGAGTCTTCAGTCTAGATCCTCTGATATGATGTATCTGACTACTGCGTGGAGTGAGAGATCAGTGGCGTTCAGTAATCATACTTCATTCGTCAGTTTTGGTTCGTAATGTGACACAAAAACCGTACATTTTACTATTAGCCCACAGTGTAGTAAAGGTAAATGTGTACAGTTGTGCTCAAAATTATTCATACCCTTGGTAAATATGATCAAAGAAGGCTGTGAAAATTATAGACATTATATTTTAAAAATTTACTAAAATCTAACATTTCATTGGAGAATAAGAATTTAAAATGGGAGATAAATCTCATTATGACATAAATGTTTTTCTCTAATACACATTGGTCACAATTAATCGTACCCTTTTATCCAATACTTTTTGCAACCTCCTTTTGCCAAGAGAACAGCTCTGAGTCTTCAGCTATAATGCCTGAAGAGATTAGAGAACATCTGACTGGAGATCAGAGACCTTTCCTTCATCCAGAATCTCTCCAGACCCTTCAGATTCCCAGCTTCTCCTCTTCAGTTCACCACACTCATCTTCTATAGGCTTCAGCTCAGGGAACTGGGTTGGCCAGGGCAGAAGCTTGCTTTTGTTCCCAGTGACCCATTTTTATGTTGATTTTGATGTTTGTTTGTGGATCATTGTCATCTTGGGAGATCCAACCATGGCCCATTATAAGATTTCTAGCATGGACAGTCAGTTTTTAGCACACAGAGCCCTGACTGTATTACAGGGACAATCGCTCAGGGACCACACCGAGCACACCACATAAGCAAACCCCAGCAGCCGGTCGGCCAAGCTCCTGACCGTTTGAATGACCCCATGCTGTGTTTCTTTCCAGACTTTCTGGACAATCAACCATGGATGCCATCTTCCGCTGCCCGTTCCTGTCCCATGTCCCCCAAACCTTCCTGCAGCAGGCTAGAAAGTCCTTGGTGGCGAACACAGTGAAGTGTCCCGTCATGATGGACCTCGCGTCGAGGCCACTGGTGCGCTCGCTCTGCTCCACACCCTCCAGCTTCCAGAAGGTCAGGAGCATGACGCCAGCCGGCGAGGGTGAGTGTCTGCAGCCGCTGCCGTTCCTGCTTGAGTTCAGTGCGTTTGCACGCCTCACTGAAGGATGTGTCCCCTCTGCTCTTTGAATTAGAAGTGAAAGAGGTGCCCAAAGTGCCTGCGGGTCACCCTGTGCCGCCTGCGGGTCAAGCGGCTGTCTCCAAATGCCCGTTCCTGGCGGCTGAGATGGGGCAGAGGAACAGCAGCGTGGTGCGGCAGGCCAGCATGGTGCTTCAGAATCAGAATCAGAATCAGAATCAGAAGAGCTTTATTACCAAGTATGTTTACACACACAAGGAATTTGACTTGACGACAGGAGCTTCCAGTGTAGAAGAAAGTACAAACATAGTGCAGACATTTTCAGGAGGACATTTCTGAAGTTCGCACCGTGTGCAAAGGTTTGTGAGGAAGTGTTTTCATGCATTTGGCGCTGCTGTGGTTTACTGTGTGTTAGTAATGCCTTTACAAAACTGTTTGGTCAGAGGCCTGTCTGAACCACCAGTCCGTCAGTCGACCCAGCAGACCTGATGATAGGGCCCTTTTCTGATAAAAATTGCAATTTGAAATTAAGAAATTGAGTACTTAAGAAAAATAAGTGTAACTATTATTATTATTATAACACTTTACAATAAGGTTCATTAGTTAACATTAGTTAACTACTTTAGTTAACATGATCTAAGCATGAACAATGCTTCTACAGCATTTATTAATCTTAGGTAATGTTAATTTCAACATTTACTAATGCATTATTAAAATCAAAAGTTGTGCTTGTTAACATTAGTTAATGCACTGTGAATTAACATGAACTAACAATGAACGACTGTATTATCATTAACATTAACAAAGATTAATAAATACTGTAATACATGTATTTGAGGTCCTTCAGTCGTTAAATAGGTTGACGAATGCAACATTTCAACTTCTTTTGTTAGGAAGTTGTTACAAATCTAGTCAATCTCCCTAATCCAACCAGTGCGGCCTGTTTTCCAGACGTCTCTCCATCTGAGCTGAATCCTTTGGTGAAGGACACCAAGATCGGAGGAAACCTGATGAAGAAGCTGATGAAGCAGCGGCCCACTCGGGTCTCTCATTTGCTGCAGGAGAACATGCCCAAAAGTATGTGCGTTCCGTTACAGTGAAGAAACTCCTACAGCAAACCACTTCCTATTTTGAACCGCAGTTTCACATCGGCTGTTCTCTTTCAGCCGTGTCCAACTTTCGCTATGACGAGTTCTTCGAGAAGAAGATCGAGGAGAAGAAGGAGGATCACACGTACCGCGTGTTTAAAACGGTGAACCGTAGAGTGACGGAGTTCCCGATGGCGGACGATTACACCAGGTCCCTGTCCTTCAAGAGAAGCGTTTCTGTGTGGTGCAGCAACGGCTATCTGGGCATGAGCCGCCACCTGCGGGTGCTGCAGACCATAATGTGAGGCTCGCTTCATCCCTTACACTAAACATGACCGTTTTCATATTATACGTATTTTTTGCACTGACGTTTTCGGGCTGCAAAATTGTCCTAAAGTGTTCCTGAAATAATGCTAAATCTAATCATCTTCTGATTTTGGGCAGAAATTCACACTCTCTGCGATGTCTCTTGACAGGGACACGCTAGGGAAACACGGTTCAGGAGCGGGAGGTACTCGAAATATATCGGGGACGAGTAAGGTTCACGTGGACCTGGAGCACGAGCTGGCCGATCTCCACGGGAAGGACGCGGCCTTGCTCTTCACCTCGTGTTTCGTGGCCAATGACTCCACGCTCTTCACGCTGGCTAAGATGCTGCCCGGTGATTATTCCCGTTTCATGTTTTGCATGAAGCATGTTCTCGCAAAATCTCATTACTCTAATACAAAAACGATAATTTAAACGTGCACACGATGGACGTATTTGTTATCTTTCGCGAGTTCTTTAGTACAAACACGAGATGTATTTATATTTATGTGATTCTCATGAAGAAAATAATCGTGTAAATCTGAAAACAGGCTTTTTATAAAGCGGATAGTTCCGGTGCTTGATTCTGATTGGCTGAGCCACGTTCGAAGCTGTTGTAAATGACTCTACAAAGTAACATACACCTTTGTTTACGTTTGTGTGTTGCTCGGCAACCACTTTGTTGCAACCACAACTGTTTCTGAGGAACTACATTGTTTGGCGGAAGAATGCTGTTTTTATTAATATCATTACACTTTATTTGTTCTGTTTAACTCCGCTTCGCGTCGTACTTAACAACGCCCCTTAGCTGTTATAAATTCACTGTAAACCACGGCTACACGGGGCTTATTGCTTTTATAAAACGGTTATTCCATATATGTAGTAAGGTTTCACAAAATAAAACAGAGCAACTAAAGTGTAATGATATTAATTAAAGAATAAGCACTAGTACCTAATGAATAAGTACTAGTAGCTAAAGAATAAGTACTAGTATCTAATGAATAAGCACTAGTACCTAATGAATAAGTACTAGTAACTTTACAAAAGACACTAGTACCTAAAGAATAAACACTAGTACCTAAAGAATAAACACTAGTACCTAAAGAATAAACACTAGTACCTAAAGAATAAACACTAGTACCTAAAGAATAAACACTAGTACCTAAAGAATAAACACTAGTACCTAAAGAATAAACACTAGTACCTAAAGAATAAACACTAGTACCTAAAGAATAAGCACTAGTACCTAATGAATAAGTACTAGTACTTAATGGAAAAGATACTAGTATCTAAAAAATAGATACTAGTACGGCTTATAGATTAAATGTTAAAACGGCTTGCCATAGGTGTGTGTGACCCACATCCGAGAACGGCAAGCAGGAGTGCAGCGTCTGAACTCTGTTAACACTGCTTTCCAGATGAGCGCAGATCTCCAGTGATCTGCTGATGAATCCGTGCGGCTTTCCTTCAGCCTTCACTCCAGTGTCTGCTCTCATAAGCGTCGGTTTTCAGAAAGGGGATTTACAGTATGTGCAGTGAACGGTGTGTGGCCACCATCAGCTGAGTCTCCACAAGTCCCTTCCTCATTTGGTGATGAATGAAGTGTGTCACATAGTACACAGTTTTCTGAGAAAATCAGCGTGGGAAGCTATTACAACTATTTAGATTTGAATCTAGGAAACTAGGGCAGGGGAAAATAACTTGCTCAAATATAGGGTACCAAATGTTTTAATTAGTAATCCTATTGTTGTGAAAATGAAACCTCACCGAACACACTATATTAAAGGTCACTTGGCTTAAAAGTTATAATATTTGTAATGTTCTCTAATTGTTACTAAATAATACAAAAGTCTGGTAATTTGCAGTTTAGGCCTGGCTTTCAATTTTACTATATGTTAAATGCTTGTATTTACATAATGTAGGTTGCTTTTAAACCTACATTTATAATACACTAAAAATGGCATTACACAAATATACAGTGTCTCCACTAATATCGCCCTGATGGTGGAAACAGGGATTTTCAATGCTTTAGCTCTTTTCTTACAGCCTCTTTCTGTTCTGTGAAGCTCAATCTTGTTCTGCGCATCAGAACTATATTCTTTGTTTTTACTCGTGATGGATGATTAGGGGAATTTGGCCTTTGTGTTCCTCATATTTATAATCCTGTGGAACAGCCTCCTGAAGTCCATCTCAACCTTCTTTGTCTTACTCACATTGAGGGACAGGTTGTTTGCACTACACCATTCAACCAGTTGTGCCACTTCCTTTCTGTAGGGTGTTTCATCATTGTTGCTGATGAGACCTACCACAGTTGTGTCATCAGCAAACTTGATGATGATGTGGCATTATTGTGTTGAATGCTGAGCTGAAGTCGATGAACAGCATTCTAACATAAGTGTCTTTGTTTTCTAGGTGGGTAAGAGCCAGTTGGAGGAAATTGCATTATCCGTAGAGCGGTTTGGACGGTATGCAAACTGGAGCGGATCGAGTGTGTTGGGGAGGCTGGTTTTGATGTTGTGCATGACTAACCTCTCAAAGCACTTCATCATGATTGGAGTCAGTGCTATGGGACGGTAGTCATTTAGATAGGACACAGGCAATTATTTTTTTTGGTACCGGTAATTTGGTACCGATATAAGCGCTGGAATCCGTGCATTATAGGCTATCTGTGCTAATTAAAGAGTGTTTGTCAGGGGTCCCGGCCCGTCTGGAATGTGGTCTTGTGACTCAACGCCTCACTTCATGTCATGTAGGCTTCACGCGAAATCACTCGAGCAGAAGGTTCCGAGTGACCTGAAATCACACACCATGCTAACATACGTACTGTACTTACTCATCGTTTGCACCTGCATGAAAGTATTTCATCATCACAATGAAACGAATGTCATTAACCGTCACAAGTGCGGAACATCCAAGTGTGGTCAGACACGTCTATGGTTCGTTTGAGATGATTGTGAAGTGAAATGTCAAGCACATATTCATCAGTCAAGTCATTCTTCATTGAGCTGCTCTTCAGGGGCCTCACACTCACAAGACTGGTCATGATCATCTAAAAACAAGTCCTCATACAATACAGTTAAAAAAGCCGACAGTTCACACACGCCTGTGTTAATGAAGAAAAGCTGCTACTTTGCATGGCAACCCTCCACAGCTACAGTTATTAAACTGATATTAGCAGATTTTAGCAGATTCATTGCACGTTTAATCACAGCAGAGCACTTACCAGATTTTACCACTGGTTAGCAGTGTTTATAGGAATAATGGGAGTAGACTCTGGTAAAATCACCTTGAGTCACTTAGTGCATCACTTGAGACATTTGCTTTATTCAAAGATGAAGTGTGTTTTTTGAAGCTCTCAAGCCATGTTACTACATACTAAAAACATGAAGATTCGCTCATCTTAAACCAGCCGGGACGCAAAAGGACAAAAGCAATAACAAATCATGTATACGTTAAAGGCAAGATGTCACAGGTGAACAGGGTAAATATTTGAACTAACAGATGTCACCATCCTAGATGATTCATTAAAATTATTAATATTAATTAACATTGCAATCCTTTTTCCTTTAACGTCTTGCCTTAAAACTCAAATGCTACAGCAGTGACGAGAGTGAAATAATGTAATTAATTTAGACTACACATTGAATCGTCTTGAAGTGAACCGTCATGATCTCGATCAATAAGGTTTCAGTGTCTTGTGACCTTTGCTCCATTCACGCTGATGCAACACAAGCAGACAAAACTACGAGGAACATGACAACATCACAGAAGCAGCAACATGACAGCGCCTTCAGGAAGCAGTTTTTCCTCTAACAGGCTCAGATACAACATGTGATCAGCAGTGATTTCCACGCAGGCGATATTAAGCGCGGTTATTCAGTGCTGGCAGTGATCCAGCTCTGCTCTCAGATGTCGGTGTGGGCGGCACTGATCTCCTCACTCGGGGAGGAATAGTTTAGCAAAAATGAAAATGTGCTGGAAATGTGCTCACCCTCGGGCCATCTGAGATCAGGATGAGTTAGTTTCTTCATCAGGTTTGGAGAAATGTAGCATTGCATCAGTGTCTCAGCAATGGATGCTCTGCAGTGAATGGGTGCCGTCAGAATGAGAGCTGATAAAAACATCACAATAATCCACAAGTAAAACAATAGATTGAAGTTAAAAACTTGTTAATGATGGCTTCAGTTTTTCAACTCTGATAATCACCCAAGAAGCTGGAATGGCATTAAAACACCAACCAACCAACAAAGCAAGTAAAGAAAGGTGTTGAAGTGATCAGACTGCACACCATGAATCCCTTCATCAACATCAGCTGATTTAGCTGGATTATGAGAGACATTAGTTACAGTGTGATCAGATTTTGACTGGTGCATAAATTAATTATTTGTAGGTTTAATGCTTCATAATGTCCTTCAGCAGGAGCTCATTCCCACACCCTGCTTTATTCGGACTTCAGCTTCAGTGCTTTGTACTCAAGAGTCCAATGCTCATGCACAATGTTTGCTTGGGGAAGTGTCACTAGGTGCACCATTGATTTTTGACTCGCTCTAGAGTGGAGGGAGAGATTGTGGGATATATATTTTGGCACTGATGCAGGAGAAGATGTGAGACAATGGAGCAGCAGTCACGCTAACGAGAGAGAGAGAGCTGCTTGCTGTTTGAAGCACTGATGGCTCATGCAGACTCATCCGCTCGGAGAAAACTGTGTGTGACGTGTGTTCACATGCTACAAAAGCATTCAGTCCTCAGTTACGGTATTTGCTAGAAAAATGGTTCTAAACAGTAGCAGAAAAGGGTTCTTCAGCTTGTAACAATAGCAGAAGTCTCTTTGGAGCTAAATAGAACCCTGAAGAACCATGGTTTGAAAATGCTATATCGGAGCTGAATGGTGTTATAAATAACCTTTTAAATTATTTTCATTCATATTAGTATTATTAATATTAGTAGTATATATTGTTTATTAATATTGTTTTTACCCCTCTACCTGCCTGGTCTTATAATATCTTGTAGCCTCTATTATGGTTTTAGATAAAACAACAACAACAGCATGTAGCTTCAATACTTTTATTTATTTATTTTTAAAGACATGTGAAACTGCAGCTAAACTGACAGTACTCTAACAACAGTTATTAGCAGAATAAATTAATAAATGGCAATTGATATAACTTAACATAACATAAATACTTAAAGAAGTAAAAACAAAACAGAAACAGAAAATAGAGGTGATGAAGACCAAGTTCCAGTGAAATCTCTTCACAATCCTCTATGATGATGCATCTGAAATAACTGAGTCTAGAGTTATAGTGTGTCCATTTGTTCATGTAAAAACAATGATGTTCACAAAGGCCAAAAGTAAAAATGGACAATATGTGAGCCCTCCCTGTTGAAAAAACAGCATATGCTGGTTAGGTATGTTTTGACGCTGGGATGCTGGT